CAGACCGATATAAGGAACATGATCGGCATAATGCTTCTGCAAAACAACCTACGTTCTTTTTAAACAATATGCACAAGACTGATGGTTTCCATCAGCTGATATATATATATATATATATATATATATATATATATATATATATATGTGTGTGTGTGTGTGTGTGTGTGTGTGTGTGTGTGTGTGTGTGTGTGTGTGTGTGTGTGTGTGTGTGTGTGTGTGTGTGTGTGTGTGTGTGTGTGTGTGTGTGTATGTGTGTGTGCTGAGATCTGTTGTGTTGCCTGGTCTTCCTTGGATGTGTCCTCTACACCGGTACAAAACCGGCAAGAACACCAGGCCCCTATACCGATGAAGTGTCAGAGCTAGATTGGCCATCTGCTGCGCGCATGTTCATTCGATTTGAAAAGCTGCGACGTGACACAGGGTGACCGGCGAAACACATCCAAGGACTACAGAAAATCCGGCATATGAACATTTAAGATATGACTGCGTGGGTTCTGCTGGCTGCCGCCTGTTTCATCCCAGAAAATGCACATTTTGCAGCATGCCGGGGGGGGGGGGGCTATAGCAGCCCGGTGCTTACAGCACGACCTTATGATCATTCGGTTCATCCACATTCATACCATGTATTTATGTCAGCTGTTTCCCCTGGGCTGCCCCGTCTCGTATGCTGCTGGCGAATATTTTGCTTCTGCAACTTACACTCTTCTCGACACCGTCTGGCGTGAGCTGTACTTCAGACTCACCAAAACATGTCAGTAGCTGTTAAATGGATGTTGGGCTGCACAGCAAAGACAGCAAACAAGTAAGCAAATACGCGCTTGCACTGGACCACCAGCCACTCATCATTTGACTGTCGCGTTCCTTACTGTTTTGGTTTTCCCGGTTTGGAAACTTCCGACAGATCCGTCCTTGTACGGACGACGTTCTGTATGTGCTAGGTTTTTCTTTTTCATTCATTAACTCATCTATGATTGTAAGGGTTTTGCTGATGATCAGTTGATGAACCCAATTTAAGCGTTACTGTCGAAGCTGCATACCGATTCCAACTGCCGAACGATTTCAAAGGAAAATTGACCTGTGGGGGCGCACATTGCTTACTGGTGCGCGGCACACATTTGATTACAGAACGTAGAAGGCATTACACCAGCGTCAACAAAGGACGGCATGCGCTGAAAACAGAATCAATACAGGCATAAATCACCCGTTAGCCATCAGCTGCTTGCTTGCGTCTTTAGAGGTCGCAGGACACATAGAATACAGCATGCATGGTATATGGCAAGGCGTTCTACTTGCATGACTTGTATTTGATTGATGTGGCAAACGTCGATAACCCAAGCTGTTCATGGATCGAATTGTTATTTTGAACAGTGGCCGCGAATTGCTGATGGTTATCGACGCATGTGATTGATCAGGAGGACGCACTGTAATGAAATACTCATGACCGTTGTGGAGTTGTAACAACAAGGCGTAAGAGACGTGTACTTTTTCAATTGGTGTAGGTTATTTGAGGGCCATCACGGATTCTGATTGGCTGTTCGGTCGCCATGGGACCAGAAGCGCTTCACTGCTGACTTATTTGCATGCAATGACATCGCGACTGAAAGATGACAAAATATTACAGGACAAAGCTTCAATAAGGTAACAACCCCGGTTTCCAAAACATGCACTAACTCATCATTGTCAGGGGCCAAGTGCTGCACCACGGCTGTGGCCGCCCGAGCACCGCCGAGTCAAGCCTTGTCCAAAGACGGCTTGGTGTCGGGACCCTTCACTGGCCGCAAAAGGCGACCGGCCCTTCCCGGCTCTGCGGCTCAGGCTGGCATTGCGTGCTGCCATGATCAGAGGGATTGCCTCAGAGGCAGGCCCACACAATTGTCCGCAGTGATTGCTCGACTGTTCGCGTGCATCCCATGTCTGAACGTGCCTCTTTACAGCAGCGCGTAGGCAAGGTCTGGACCGAAATCATGTGCCGCTGCTTGATACCTCTGGGACTTGAAGTTAATCATTATTGTCGAAGCTGCATATCTATTCCAGCAGGCTGACGATAAAAGAAAAATGAATACATGGGTGTGTATTTGTACATACGGATATGACGCACACACGTTTGCAGAATGTATATAGCGATGCGATGACGCCTACAAAGCCGGCATGCGACGAGAACGCAATCATGGCATCCATTCATCACCCGTAATCCGTCATTTGTCCATTTCGGTCTTTAGCAGTCCCACAGGACTTGAACAATACAGCATGCATGCGAAATAGAAAGATGTGTGATATATGTCGTCGCAAACGTCATTACCTCGACTTAAGCTGTAATCACTGCAGCATTCGCATGCAGCCAGTTATGGTTATTCGCCATTATTTCACACCACACCATTACGTTTCACCGTCGACGCTCCGGTGCACACGGCGATGTTCGGGCTTTATTTGCGGGCAGCACGCTCTCAGGGGTCCCCGCTAATCGGAGATCCACGGCGATCAGTCGCTGCTGCCAGCGAACGCGGTCTCTGCGCCCGCTGAGACGTCCGGGGCGAGTGACGGCGGTTGTCCTGAGAGGGGAGCGGGAAAACACACATTATGCACTTGTTATTTACATGCGACGCCAAAGCGCTAATGCTACACTCACCAGAGACGCTGGGAAGATAACTCTGCCTCCTCCTCTCCCCCACTTCCGCCGACCGTGCAGTGAGTCATGTCCAAGGGCGACTGGTCTCAGCGGGCGCCGGTAGCTGCTCTGCCGCTCTGCAGCGGGTTTTCTGCGCCCGCACCCGGTCTTCTGCGCCAGCAGCCGATCTTGTGCGCCAGCGACCGGTCTTCTGCTCCAGCAGCCGGTCTGTCCCGTTTGTATCTTGACAAAGCTTCATGTGGGCCGGTCCCAACGGATGGTTTTGTATTGCAGTAGTCCCTTGCTACCAGCGAGGTGTTTTTTATCCAAATTTAAGCGAAAGCAATGTGTTCACACACACACACACACACACACACACACACACACACACACACACACACACACACACACACACACACACACACACACACACACACACACACACACACACACACACACACACACACACACACACACACACACACACACACACACACACACACACACACACACACACACACACACACACACACACACACACACACACACACACACACACACACACACACACACACACACACACACACACACACACACACACACACACACACATATATATATATATATATATATACATATATATATATATATATATATATATATATATATATATATATATATATAGTATCAATATAGCTTTCTGAGAAAAGCCAATCCAAGGACGATCCCGATCCAGCACTCAGCTCATGGGTCCATATATAACCACACAAGCGATGATAAGTCCATGCGGTGGAACGCGAGACAGAGCGCATGGCCATAGCCTTCGTGAGATCGTCCCTGTTTGAAGTCGTTGGTCTGGCGATATGCCGTGCGTGGACGGGTATGCGATGGGCGGTTGAGCTGCTGTTATATGTTTCTCCAGACGGTCACCAAGCCTCCCAGGTGCCTCCAGGCGGTCAGAACATCAACTGTGAGCCAACATTGTGGTCGCATCGGATCCAACACATCCACTGTACCCAGCGCACCCACCAGTCCTGCAAGATCCGGACCAGCGACCAGCCTAACAAGGGTCGATGCAAAGGCTACCCCTACCTCTCATCAGAGCACGTTAGAGATCACGACGGTTAGGATGATGCAAACAAGGGACAACTGGTTCTGGTTCCTTCATTACGCGAGGGAATCTAGCGTACAGTGACGAGAACACCAAAGGTGAAGCCCTTGTTAAACTTCCATTCAGATGCAGATTAATTCATAGAATAAAAGCACATGACTGGCTTAGATCCTGGTACTCAAAAATTTTCAATACCGACATAATGGCAGGGGATCATCCAGCTCGCATATACTATTGGCAGCTCATGATTATTTTATATTCAACACATTTGGTGCTACATCATACCAGCCAATCAGAAGCCTTAATGCTGAGCAGTGGGTCAGCAGAAGTTGGTGGCACCTCGGTGGATGATATACGCATTGCGGTAGTAATGTGCTGCCAGAGTTGGAGGCACCCAAATAGGCGCCCTTTCTACCCGAGGAGCTGCACGCGACAACAGAATGTCAATCTTCAGCGTACTTTGAAGCACAATTAAAGAACAGCCCCCGACTGATGCGCTCCGAGAACCCCTATCAACAACCATGGGCACGTCGCGTGAAGCACTTGACCTGCTGGAGGAAAGCGTGCAGCCGTACCAGCCATACGAGCATTTGCTCAAGCTGAGCGACCGTGTCATTTTGGTAGGCTTTTTCATTTCGACAGTTTTGACGCCATCCAGACATAAAGCCAACATGCATTTCGCCTTTTATCTGTTTGCTTGCTGACATTAAAGCACAAAGAAACACAATAAGTCGTGTTTTTAACGTTTGGCGGAAAAGTAGTGGGCTCAAAGTCGTTCAGTAAGTTGTCCTGGAACCGATACCTCCGAGTGGCGGCGACATGTAAGGCGCGGAATATCGGATGAGTGACGGTTGCCTGCTTTAAAGGCAGCAGCTGGACTTCCGCAATTGGCAGTACAAGTCCGCCCGTCTTAAAGCTCTAAGCATGCACAAGTGTCTCGGAACTAACAATCAGTTCCCGAGAAGTGATCTGGTGAGAACCAGGCGTATAGGCATCGGCGAGCTTGCAATACAGTTCCACAGCTACAACTTTACGTAAATACGTCGTTAGCGTATTAAGAACACTAGATTTTCAGTTAATGCTGACATGGTAAAATTCAATTGTGTTGGCACAGTTTCATGAAAATAAGGCTAAGTTCCAAGATTCAAGGCTTCTTCAACTTTGACAGTGAAATAGTTTCCTCGAATGGAAAATGCGCTTTCCTTGGGAACATTTGCCGACAATTCCAGCGCAGGTGAGTTTTTCAAGTGCGTTGTTTAGTACGATAGGCAAACTGCTCTTGTTTCGCAGAGCAGTGTCTGTGACGTTACGTTGGCCTTTTCCACGGTTTCGCAAGAGTGGACACTAGCCGGTGGGATTGCTGTTTATAAGCGAAGCGGGTTTTTAGACGTTTTAGAACAGTGGAAGGTGTTCTGTTGGTTGCAGATAACTTCATATTACGTACAAACCGCACAGCCGTTTTTGCTGCAAAACAGCTTTAGGTAATCTTGATAAGGGAATTTCGCAGCAGTAAAATAAGTATCACCAGGCCACTGGGATATGTTACACAAATGATTGTGTGACAATACATAAGTACTGCACCTGCTGCTTCATGTTCCCCAGCACTGTGATCATTCTATATTTAGGCTGTGTAGGTTGCAGGATCAGTTTTCATGCTATAAACTGGGCTCAGTGAGAATTCTGATCCAGTGATACTGGAGTTCTCAACTTGTGCAAGAATCTTAATGTTATAAACTGATGTGTATATGCCACTGATGTGCTGCTGCCAATTTCATTGTAATTTCTTTAGTCAAGATGTTTCCAAGCTTAGGTCAATCCTCACTTCCATGACTGATATCTGCCATTTGAAATGAACTTGCTCATAAATTTTGACATTTTTCCACATGAAAATTACAGAGCAGCTATTCATTTTCACTGATCATAGCTTGCAAACAAATGTTGTTCCTGAGTCATGGCATACCCTTTTCAAGTTTTGCCTGTGTTTGTTGTATGCTCTGGGCCAGGTAACTGATGTGTTAGTAAGTACATTCCTAAGGCAGTTATTATACTTGTTAATATGTTACACAAATTGCAGCAAATGGCCTGTGCTGTAGTTTGTATGGAAGTAACTGTAGCTTGAATGGTCATGCAATGATATGCTTGCATGTTGTTTGCCCTGCTGTGCTTGTGCTATGCAGCATGGGTATAATTCCACAAAGTTGAGACAATTTGACCAGGCGTCATAACCTTACATGCCTGTAGTGTGTTATTTTTAATATTTAGGGTACTTTCTGGTCTAAAACTTTCATTAAGACTTGTTTAAATGATAGTTCTCTTAATTATTGTTGATGGAATATTTTGGTGTCATGTTTTTTAGCATTTTGATGGCTTGCAACTCAGTAAGGCACATGATATTAAATCACATGATAACCAAAGTTACCAGCCATGCAAACTTTGTGATACATATTCTGTACAAACTTTGTGATTTGACAGAAATAACTTACCTATTTTGATGCCATGACATTTCATTATCAGTAGATGGGCTATTGCAGTTTTCCAAGCTTAACATACTCATAAGGTTTTTCTCTAGCTGTGGAGTTTCATATTTTTCAATCTGTTCTTCACCCTGTCATGGCAACAAAAGTTCTTTGAGATTACTGAAGCTTTTGGACTCTTAGTCCTGGTGTGGAATGGCACACCAAATTTTGAAGTGCTATGAATTGCCTACCATGTTTTAGAACCTAAAGTATATTTCAAGTACTTGCTTCTTTTGCTTTATCCACATCACCATATGTGACAATGTGTTTGAACCTGTGTAAGCCATACAGATATGAGAGAATAGGAGCCTAAGACATTAAATAGTATGACATTTTTGATCAGGAGCAAGCACAGACTTACTTCTTGGAATAATTTCCTGGGGGTTTCGTCTCTGCAGTCTTTATGGCTAGCAAGGCAGTGACCTTTTGGGCCACCAAATAAGCAATTTGCAACTCACAACTGACTGAGATGGGTGTATATCATCCTCTGAGATTCTAATGAACCTATGCATATTCCATTGCAACCTAAAAGGAACTGCATTCTGTCTCAAAAATCAAATTATTTGCCATCTTCTTTAAATGTGTTAATTTCAGATGCCACATACGTGCAGTTACTATAATATGAATTCACATGCTTGCCACACTATCCGAATGTCAGATGCTCACTTACATTACCGTGCATTATTAGTTTAGCCTTCATGACCAGTATTTGTGTCCACAGCTGGGATGTCCGACGACAGCCGCAGCAGTGGAGAACAGTGTGCATCAGACAGTGAGAAGCACAACAGGTACAGTGCTGTTCACAAGCCTGGACAAGCTCAATTCAATAATCAGGTGCAGCCAGTGTCAGACAGCAGTATGCTACACTGTTACAGCTTGATGCACCAACACATTGGCATTCGTGAATGTCTGAACCAATTTCAGGAGCTACTTTTGATGCCTGCATCTGTACGCATTCCAGGCCTGGCAGCGCGGCCAGTGATGCGAGCAGCGACGCCGGCAGTGACGTGAGCGGCGCGGGCAGCGGCGCCGCGGCCACCGCCGCCGGCGGCGCGGCCGACGGCGGCCGCAGCGACAGCGGCAGCGACGCCGGCGGCGCGGCGGACAGCGGCGACGAGGCGTTCGCGCCGTCCGATGACGAGATGGGCGGCGACGAGCCGGCCGACGGCGGGGCGCGCTCGCCCGTCGAGCCCGCCGACGAGCCGGCCGACGAGCCCGTGAAGGAGGCCGATGATCGGGCGTCGGTGTGTTCGGCCGACTCGGCCGTCAGGCGGAGCCCCGCCAAAAGTCACAGGTGGGAGGCTCGCGCGCGGCTGGGGCTGATAAGGCGTGCGACTTGGAGGGTCTGTCACCGTGCCTGCTTGAAATGTGACGTACTGGGTAGCGTAGAAACATTGCAGCACTTGGACGTTCCATGGATCATTTTCGAATACGTAGAAACGCGTAGAAAGTAGAGAGCCGCGAGTTAGCATGCGTGGAAAACCGCAACAATTTATGTAGTTTCTTCTACTTTGCCATGGGTGTTTTTTAAGCTTGCTCAATGCATATGACATAGGCCCTCCATTTTCATTGCATATTCCATTGTGCTAGGTTTATACGCTAAAACGAGGTTGCTGACTCGCACGAATAGCGCGGATTCTCCGCCATTAGGAGAAGTACAGCATGTTATCTCATGGGGGGGGGGGGGGCGAAACCTTTTTGTGATGAAACTGACCAACTAGAGGGATGTTTTGCTGTTTTGATCATGGCTTGTTGGTCACCATTTCAATGCAGTTCAAATGTAAATAGCCTTGAGTGCTATTTGTACTTCACTATTGCACTTGTACTATTACTATTGTACCATTACTTGTACTTGTACTATTACTTGTATTGCATCTGTACTATTTGCTGTTCTGCTATTTGTACTTGAGTTACTTGATTGGAAAATTTGTTTTGATTAGGCATTTGATCCCATCGATCTGCTTATGTTTTCACAGGGTTGGGACTATACATGTAGAAAAGGTATAAAGTGAAGCTATTAGACATCAACATATACTTGGAATATAACAAGAAACAAACACGAAACAACACGCCACCTTTGTGATCATTGTTTACATGAAAACGTTTCTTCTTTTGTTAGTATTAAAGGCACAAACTTTAATCATGTTAGCTTAAATCTGTTGAATTTATTTGGTTTCACCAGATGCGATGTTAGGTGCAATTGTCAGAGGTTAGGTGTGCACAAGCCTGAAAAGTGCATCTGTTTGGTCTGCCACTAGTGGCACAATCACAATGTCCATCACTGGGAATGGGTGCCTCTCAGTCTCTTCGTGCCGGAAAAATACGGTAAATTCTATTCGCTACCTTGTATTAGCTCTCAAGATATTTGCTTCGCGGAATGTGCCGACAGAGATAGGATGGTATGGTTTTTATACCCTGGTCCGACGACGCTGACTGGAGCCCAAGGCTTTACTTATTTACGTGTGTGGCATCCCTGTCATGTGTTGCAGAAGCGGGTCTGCGGACTCTGCCGGCTCTGCGAACCGAAGTCGTAGCCGCGGCCGCAGTGGCAGTCGCAGCAAAAGCCGAAGTCGCAGCCGGAGTGGCAGTGCAGCCGGCAGTCGCAGCCGCAGTCGCAGTCACAGTCGCAGTCGCAGCCGAAGCCGCAGCCGCAGTCGCCCCAAGAGTCGCGGCAGCGCGCGGAGTGGCAGCCGCAGCCGCAGCCGTAGCGGCAGCGGCAGTCGCAGCGGCAGTGGCAGCCGCAGCCGGAGCCGCAGTGGAAGCCGGAGCCGCAGCCGCAGCCGAAGTCACAGCGGCAGCCGGAGCCGCAGCGGAAGCCGCGCGTCGGGAGACGAGGAGCGCAAGTCTGTGGTGGACAGCGACGAGGAGCGCAGCCGCGCCGGCAGCCGCGCTGGCAGCCGCGCCGGCAGCCGCGCCGGCAGCCGCGCCGGTAGCCGCTCCCGCAGTCGCTCCGGCTCCGACAGCGAACCGGTCAGTCTCCCGGCCGCCTGAACGCGCCGTCGCTGACCTGGCGCCGGGGACCCATGCGCCTAGCGCGAGCCGCCGTGCGCAGTCAGGCCAGTGTGCCGCGGAAACGGGCCGGCCCTGCCAGCTAGGCAGGGTTAACGTGTGGTGTAGCCACCGGCCTCATCTGGCTCAATTTTGTTTGAGTCTTGGTGGATTGCGTGGGTGGCTTTGAGCTTTGAATACCTGCTAAGCAATAAGCAGGTGGGGTGCAGTCTCTCTCTCTCTCTCTCTCTCTCTCTCTCTCTCTCTCTCTCTCTCTCTCTCTCTCTCTCTCTCTCTCTCTCTCTCTCTCTCTCTCTCTCTCTCTCTCTCTCTCTCTCTCTCTCTCTCTCTCTCTCTCTCTCTCTCTCTCTCTCTGTTCTGTTCTGTTCTGTTCTGTTCTGTTCTGTTCTGTTCTGTTCTGTTCTGTTCTGTTCTGTTCTGTTCTGTTCTGTTCTGTTCTGTTCTGTTCTGTTCTGTTCTGTTCTGTTCTGTTCTGTTCTGTTCTGTTCTGTTCTGTTCTGTTCTGTTCTGTTCTGTTCTGTTCTGTTCTATTCTATTCTGTTCTGTTCTGTTCTGTTCTGTTCTGTTCTGTTCTATTCTGTTCTATTCTTTTCTTTTCTTTCTTTTCTTCTCCTCTCTCTCTCCCAGCATTTGTGTGTGCATCGATACACACATCTGATGTCTCGCGGTCAGTCGAGCTTGTGTGCTGGCCTTGGTTTAGTAGCCTCCGGTTAGTGCGGCCCGGCGTGACGAGCTGAGGCAGCTGGCTGCTGCGTGCTGCCTGGGGAGCTGGCTAGTCCAGCCTGTCGCCGGCGGGGCTCTGCACTCGGCCGTGGCGCGGCCGGCGGCGGACGCGCCCATCCACCAGCCAGCGCTCTCCCCTGCCGCAGGAGGGCGCCAAGAAGCCGGCGGCCGGCAGCGGCGCCGACTCGGACGGCGAGGGCGTCTCCAGGAAGCGGAAGCGCCGCATCATGTCGGACAGCGAGGGCGAGGAGGGCGGCGGTGCGGCTGCCGAGACGGCCCCTGCCGACGACGACGAGGCGCCGCCGACCGACGAGGCGGCAGGAGCGGCCGAACAGGTGACCGCCTCGGGGGTCTGAGTCGGCTCGGAGTCGGTGCCCCAGGCGAGGACGGCCGGTGGCGACGGCTCGCCAGCTGCTGGCTGTTGATTAAGGTGCTTGATGGGAGTGTCAAGATGAAAATCAGATGTTGATAGCTCTTGAAAGTCTCATTCCAGCAGACGTCAAGTGTCATTAAATATTTGGCAGCCAGCCCCTGGCCTGAGCTGAATGGGCCACCGTCTGCTTCGCCACATGGACATGTAACTGGGTCACCTTCCGCTCCATCATGTGTGCATGCAACTGGGCCACCTTCTACTCCACCATGTGGACATGTGACTGGGCCACCCTCTACTCCACCATGTGGACATGTGACTGGGCCACCTTCTGCTCCACCATGTGGACATGTGGCTGGGCCACCTTCTGCTCCACCATGTGTGCATGCAACTGGGCCACCTTCTACTCCACCATGTGGACATGTGACTGGGCTACCTTCTGCTCTGCCATGTGAACATGTGAATGGGCCACCTTCTGCTCCACCATGTGTGCGTGCGACTGGGCCACCTGCTCCGCCATGCGGACGTTTTACATCTGGGCCAAGCCTTGACACGGTTGGCCTTCAATACGCGCCACTCACACATCTGAAAAATGTTACTTTGCTTGGAGTCAGGCACGTGCCGCTCAAACATCGCACGAACACCTCCGAAAATCACGGTTTTCTAGATTAAGAATCAAAACAAGTGTCCGCCTCTGCACAGGAACGCTTACTGAAAGAACAGCTTTAAAACCAAGGCCATATGCACCAAAAAGAAGCGAGGGCTGCTGCTGCGCCCGTAAACTTTTCGTGTGCGTGATGTTCCAGCTTTTTTTTGGTAATTATTTTGTAATCTTTATTTTTACCGCGAAAATCAAACCCTCAGGCAGACGCCAAATTCCAAGAGAGCTAGGACTAGAAAAACTCGGGAGAAATAGAGGCATGTGATTTTTGATGGTGGAAATGGATTTCGAATTCCACACTTAATTTCAATGCGGTGGAATCGTATAAGTAACAAAAAATCGCAAATACGAAGTCACACATACTGGCCGAAATATACAAAATGTCCCGATTAAAATGTCTACAGCGAATTTCGGGCTAGCTAAAATTTGGGTAATTCGTACCTATGCCTTCTTTTGCATCAACACGTGCTCAGTTGGAGGTGTGGTAGAGAGGGGGTGGGGGTGGGGGGATTTTCTGGGCCGAGTTTCGAACTGCGTGGCCCGATCTGTTAGTATACAACAATGAGGTGCGCCTTGTCGGATCGCTAGCCTGTAACAGACGAAAGTCAGGTCATGAATGGCAGGGAAGGCTTTTGATAGGTAAACGTTCAACGTGATGTCATAGAACGGAGCTATCGAAGTGATAAAACTTAGATGTGGTTTCTTAAACAATTAGACTGATGGAATAATCAATATGATCTTGGTTGTCAGTGATATGTTGTCATGTTATCAAATTATACGTCGTTGTTACTTGTGAATTGTTGCTGTTATGAACTTTACAATGTGATTCCATTGGCCTTGGGTCAGGTATTATCAGAAGAAGGTCAAAATCGTACTGCTTTATTACTGGAACGCTGGCTCTTTGGGATATGATTCAACGCCCATTTCAAATATATAGAACACAAGTATGCCAAAAATGTCTTATCCTAATTAAGGTCATGGTGGGTCACTGACCTGAAATGACTTCAATCAACCTTTTGATTTGTTGACCATGCCACCTTGGGTAGTGCTTGGCGCATATTGTCAATTCATGTATACCAATAATTTCTAAGGCCTTTGGTCATTTTTACATTCTTAAGGTCAAACAAGATCACTATCACTGATCTGACTAACATCAGTGATCTTTTTCCTATAAGGGGTATCTAGTCTAAAACTAGCTGCATAAGGATGCCTAAGGACGTTTTGGGCACCCATCTGGAGTGTGCCATTTTTGCGCCCTTTGACGGGAATGTCGTGACCCAGATACCTCAATTGGAATAAAATCGGGTTACTCACACTCCTCTCCCCTGTGAATTTGTTGTCTCTAGCTGTCTTAGTTTTTGAGATTTCAGAGGTCACATCGTCCAGTCCCCCAACCGAGCGCGTCGCGTCGAACCGCCAACGTGGGCGCGTGCTAAAGGTTGTTGGACGATTTCCTATCACATATCGTCATGCGCACGAGACACATTTTTCTTCCGTGATACAGTAAGTTGTAGCGTAGTTGTTGTGGAGTAAGTTGTCCACTGGTCAGTTACGTATAATGTGTCTGTTTTGCCCAATCAGGCAACCTGTTTCAAAGGATTGAAACGGATCTTTGTTATAAACCACTTGCCTGCAAGTTAGCTCTGCAGCAGGGACCATAATCCTCATGCCGTATCCTGGAGTGCAGGAAAAGTTACTTGAATGTAAACAAATTGCTCTGGTGAAGCAAAATGCACTGGTTTCGGGCTTGATAATTGCTGTTATGCATTCCGCGGAAGTTAAACTAAGAATAAAGTTGATGTTTTGTTTATTCTTGTAGCGACATATCCAACCAGCCAAGGCACTTACATGGATGTTTGGAATGGCTACAAATGTATTGCTTACCTGAATCGCTGAGGCTTAACTTTTGGTAGTCCTTGTTTGACATTTCCTGTCTCTGTACTGCGCCACAGTCCTTACGCCACCATACGTCCTCCGGCCATCGTTCCTCAACGCCACACCCTGTGGAGTTTTTCCGGCGCACTGACTCTGACTCTGACTCTCCTGCTACACCCTGTGGAATACTGGCCGGCGCACTGACTCTGACTCGCACCCCGCAGCCCGCCGAGGCGGCGCCGCCACAGGCCTCCGACTCTGACTCGGACGAGGGCATCACGGCCCGCGACGGCGAGACGGAGCCCTCCGGCATGTCTGACTTCGAGCTGATGCGCATGCGCAAGAAGAGCGAGAACACGCGGCGCCGCAAGCGCAAGAACATCGATATCATCAACGACAACGACGACCTGATCATGCAGCTGATCCGACAGATGCGGGAGGCGGCTGAGGTTGGTTTCGCTGGCCAGGCTGGTCAGGGATAGACGTTGCCTACTCGGGAACAGCATATGGATGGTGGGGAGGGTGCTGGGGTAAATTCCAGGGAGGAGGGGGAGGTAGGCGTCGTTAGGTTATATGCTCTACCGCTTGTATGAAGTTTGAGGGTACATTATGGTGGAGAGAGGACTGGTGAGATGTAGACGTGATCGAAGGAAGGTGCAGTGCATTTTTCGTAGCGTTTAATTATTTTGTAGCCGATTATGGTCACTGATTTTTAGCTTTCTAGGGCGGTACGAAACTAAGAGATCCGAACTTGAACGCTCCGAAGGCGGCGTGGAGGTCGCTGACCGTTCCTTTTGTCCCTCGGTGACACGACTAGGCGTGTCATTATTTCTTGAGTGGGCCTAACTCTGCTCCGCTCTCAGAGTATGCTCGTGACACCGCTGGTGCGTGGCGGGTTTCTCTCGCATCTAGGCCCACACGCCTCCCCCGCCGTGTCCTGACCTGCCAGACACGCTGACGTGGCCTCCGACCTCTCTCGCCCCACAGGAGGACCGCGAACTCAACCAGAACCGCAAGCCGGCCACGCGCAAGATCTCCATGCTGAAGACGGTGATGTGGCAGCTGGGCAAGCAGGACCTGCAGCTGGCCTTCCTGGAGTCGAACGTGCTGTCGGTGCTGACCGACTGGCTGGCGCCGATGCCGGACCGTTCGCTGCCCGCGCTCAAGATTCGGGAGCAGATTCTGACGCTCCTGCAGACGGTGGGACGCCACACCCCGCTGGCCGCGCTGGGCCCCGCTGTCCACGCTGCCCCCCCCCCCCCCCTCCGTGTTCCCGCTGTCCGCGTTGTGTCTCTGTTGTCCCCAGTGTCCCTTTCCTGCCTTGTGCGCTGTCCCCTGCTGTGTCACTGTGGCCGTGGTTTCCTCTGTGCCCCCACTGTCCGCGTTGTTCCCGCTATGCCCCCACTGTCCGCGCCGTGTCCTCATTGTTCCCGCTGTGTCCTTGCTGCGCACCCGCTGTGCCCCGCGGTCTCCGCTGTGCCCCGCGGTCTCCGCTGTGCCCCAGGTGTGCCCCAGCTGTCCCCTCGTGTGTCCCCGTTGTCCTCCGTTGTCCCCCCCCCCCCCCCCGCTGTCCCCGCTATCCGTGCTGTGTTCTCGCTGTATCCCCGCTGCCCCTCTCCCCCCCCCCTCCACTGTTCCCGCTGTCTCCGCTGTGTCCCCGCTGTGCCTCCGCAGTCTCCGGTGTTTCCACTGCGTCCCAGCTTGCCTCCGCTGTGCCCCCGCTGTGGCCGCGGTCCTTGCTTATAGCTGTGGTCCTGAGGCGGCAGTGACGGGGATGGGATGGCCACTGGCCGAGAGTCAGCTGTTGACACTTCACTGGAGTGACTTGTGGTGGGCCGGTCAGAAGGCCCAGCACGGGCTGTAACATACGGTTATGAGCCTAGCACGGGCTGCAACATGCAGTCGTGGGCCTGCTGACGTTGCGGTCACAGGAATGTCATATTGACCTTTTCTGTTGAACGAAAACGGGACGATCGCCTTCAGATCCTTGGTTTAAATGCCTTCGTCGTTCTAGTGTAACAAGATCGCAGTCGTCTTCTACATTTGTTGTGGGCAGGGATTAGAATTGCAAAGTTTCGTACAAGATTTGAGTGAAATTTACCGCTTTTCTTCGTACTACATTAACGGGTCTGCTATTGTTAGATTGTTTTTCATGCTTCATTTTAACAATTGTCAGATACAGTTCCAAACCATTAATTTTGGCAACCGAGAGTTTTGATTTCGTGTTAAACTCATGGTTTGTCTGTTTCTGTCTGATAAATCACCGCCCACCTTGGGCTGGCCAGCGGTGCGTGTCATCTCGATGGTGTTCAGCATATCTTGGGGCCCCTGATCCGTGCAGTTCCCGATGCCGGACCAGCAGCTGCTGAAGTCCTCGGGCATCGGCAAGGCCGTGATGTACCTCTACAAACACCCTCGGGAGACGAAGGAGAACCGGCAGCTGGCGGGCAAGCTGATCAGCACATGGTCTCGGCCCATTTTCAATCTCACCACCGACTTCGCCGGTAAGGGTCTGGACGGGACTGGGCAGCTCGTGCGGGAGGACTGCGACCCGGGCTGAGCGGCGGCTGTCGGAACAGGCGTGCTGGGCGGGTGCGGGCCAGATACAGCCGCGCTGGAGGGGAGGGGAGGGTAGAGGCGAGCGACGGCTGTCGGAACTGACCTGCTCGGCGGGTGCGAGCCAGGTGCGGCCACGCGAGCGGAAAGGCGGGCGCGCAACCGCTGCGACATCTGTGTAGTTTCAGGCGGCGCCATCTACTGGACCGGGGGGCACGCCCATGGAGGTGGCTTATGCCTGACTGAGTCTTCGTCACACGTCTGTCGTGAATGCATGCCGGCATGCTTCAGTACATGCTGCCTGCTCAAGGACTACAATCGCTTACGACACATTCACAACATTGGCGAGGTCATGGCTGCTATCACCGGCGGTAACGCGACACGCAAAGCGAGGGGGGGGGGGGGGGGCGCTGACGGAGTGGTGCTTCAGCTCCCGTCTTGTTCGGCTAGTTGGTGCCTGTGGCTTCAGTTCCGTCCAATGGGGCGGTGCCTTTGACCCCTCCCCGTCCGATGCTAAGGTGGCTCTGGCTCCCGCTCCGTCCGATGGGGCGGTGCCTCTGGCTCCCGTCCCGTCCGATGAAGTGGTGGCTCTGGCTCCTGTCCTTTCCGGCGGGGCGCACGGCCGCCCCTCCGACCCCGCCCAGCCTTGACCAGGACCGTTTCCGGACCGGCAGCAATGTCCAAGGAGGAGCGGCAGCAGCGCGACTACGAGCAGATGCCGAAGCGAGCCCGGGACGACGCCGAGAGCGAGGCGAGGCAGGCGGCCGGCGACGACAAGTAAGCGACATGGCCGGGAGGGGGACTGGAGAAGGGACAGGCGGCCACTGAGGGCTTTCCTGGAGAAGGGACAGACAGCCACTGAGGGCTAACCTTGGGAACGGACGGGCGGTCGCCCAGGGGTAACCTTGGGAAGGGACAAGCAGCCACTGAGGGTTAACCTTGGGACGGGACAAGCGGCCACTGATGGCTAACCTTGGGTAGGGACAGGCGGCTACTGAGGACTGAGATATCACTGCGAAATCCTGCGGCTAAGCTTGAAATTCATGATGCGATGAGGGGATCAGAGGTGGCAAGCGTTACGCAGCGTGATCTCTGGTCTCAGAAATCCGTGCTATAAAAATGTTCGGACTCAGACGAATGTTCGGGTGTTCGGACGAATGAAAATGTTTCAGTCAACCAGACTTTCATCGAGATTGGTGTAATTCATTGCCTTGAAGTTAACTTGAGTCTGTCATAAGTCATAGACCGTAGGCTGGTATGTCTCCGAACCTGGTTTTCATCAGAATCGGCTCTGTCGGAGTCGATTTCATAATTGAACCACACCTCGGTTGGGAATCACAGTTGACCCAAAGTGGTGCTGAGCTGCTCGGAGTGAGAGTCGAAATAAACGTCACGTGCTGTGAGTCAGCACTGAAAACGAGTCTGCCAAAAGGAGTTCCGCTGAAATCAAGCACAAGTCTGGATACGAACTCGCCCACAAACCACTGAATGCCGAAGACACCAGGTGTGTGTCGGAATATCACGTCCCTGGGCCCTGGGTCGCTTAAGCCCGTGCATCCGGACTGGGTGCCGCTGGGTGACACACGTGTCCTCCACAGGTCACCAAGACCCGGGGATCTTGGCTGGGCGCTGCTGGGTGACACGTGTCCTCCATAGGTCGCCGAAACCCGGGGATCTTGGCTGGGCGCCACTGGGTGGCACGTGTCCTCCGCGGGTCACTGAGACCCGAGGATCTGGGCTGGGCGCTGGGTGACACACGTGTCCTCCACAGGTCACCAAGACCCGGGGATCTGGGCTGGGCGCCACTGGGTGGCACGTGTCCTCCGCAGGTCACTGAGCCCCGAGGATCTGGGCTGGGCGCTGGGTGACACATATGTCCTCCACATGTCACCGAGACCCGAGGATCGGGCTCGCGTGTCGGTGCTTGACCCGCCGTGTCCTCCGCAGACCACTGAGGCCCGGTGACCCCGGCTGGGTGGGCCGCGCTCGTGTACCCATGCTGTCGGCCAAGGACTACGTGGTCAGGCCGCAGTGGAAGAATAACGCTGAGATGAGCACGGTAAGCACCCTGGACTGCTGGTCACCGCACACACGGACCTTCAGGTTTATAGCTAACAATTTGATAATAATCCGCTGGCCGTGGCACATTGTAAGTGCAGACGCTCAGACCAAGTGCAATTGGTAGTGCCTTGGCACGCGGTGTGCGGCTAAGATGGTTGCTCAGTGGGATGCTTCGAAAGCGTCAGCATGCTCACAGCTCATCTTCGTATTTTTAGTCGTGCTTCTCAATGGGCAAGTGATCTGGCTCACGCTGTGACGTGTAGATGTAGGTCGTCGAGGTAAGAGAAGGATTTTACAATGTACCTGGGCCTTCATAGTAGTGCGGGATGATATTGAATGGAAAACTTAACCCAGTACCGTCGTTTGATGTTTGTGCCGACTTCTGCACTTTCTTCTCGAACTAAGCAACACAACGCCTGGCCCAAGTCTTCGTGTCCCACATCCATCCTCAAAGCCCGTCTTGTATGTAATGATGTGTCACACGGGCAGCGCCACATATTCAAGTTTGGGGCAGATCTTACACGGGGCTCCTGGACCACATGGGGCCTCCTGACAGGGGCCTCCCAGGCGGTGTCGTATTCAGGGGTGGGAGCACCTGGGGCATGTGCCCGCTTATCGGATTGTCACATGTATGATATCAGGTGAACCAATGTCGACAATACAAAACCTAGAATGGGGGCCTTCCGATTATCCAGCAAAAGCTCTTGCGAAAGCATGAAAGGGGCCTCCTGCTCCAGGAAGTGGGCTTCTTAAATTTGCTTCTTAAATTTGCAACAAAACAAAAATAAAGAAGTGCCTCCTTACCCACAACGAGGGCTTCCTGGTTCGTAACGGTCCTCCCGAGCCAGCAAGGGGACATTCTTAACTTAACATTGGGCCTACTTATTTAGAGTGTGGGCTTCGTTATTCATAAAGGTGGTCCCATGATCCAGGAATCGGGCCTATTGATGTAAAAAGGAGTCTTCTGGGTCCGATTTATCACTCTTGAACTCAGTTATGTGGGCCTCCGTGGTCCGTATGTTGACAATCTTTGAGTAGCTGCAATGCCTTTAATTGGGAAACAGGAGTCTCTCAAAAATTTAGAGGAGCAAAAACATAGCTTGCCCCTCCCCTTGCCTGCTGGCAGCAGGGGTGGACAACTGCCCCCTGTGCTCCTCCCTTGCTGTGCCGCCCCTGTGCGCCACCTGGCGCTCACCGTGAGTGGCAACTGGTGGTGCGCGTGGCCTTGACATCGTCCGATGGAGCCAGTGTGGTTGTAGCTGGGGCTGGTCGTGGCCGCAAATTTGACCCGTCCTTCTCGGGGGGCAGGTCACCAAGAAGGAGGTCAGTCGACTGGAGCGGCACCAGCGCGCCTTCAAAGAGCGAAAGCGTCGCTCCAACATGCAGCGCGCCGTCAACATCAGCATAGAGGGCCGCCGCATGGCGCTCTGAGCAGCCGGCTGCCTAGGTGAGACACCTCCGCGCTGCAGTGCGGCCGGCTGTGTAGGGGAGACACCTCCGCGCTGCAGTGCGGCCGGCTGTGTAGGGGAGACACCTCCGCGCTGCAGTGCAGCCGGCTGTGTAGGTGAGACACCTCCGTGCTGCAGTGCAGCCACCTCCGCGCTGCAGTGCAGCTGGCTGTGTAGGTGAGACACCTCCGTGCTGCAGTGCAGTCGGCTGTGTAGGTGAGACACCTCCGCGTTGCGGTGCGGCAGGAAGAGAAGCTATCAGTGCCAGACATATGCCAGGATTACATGGAAACGTCCTAGATCACAGAGCATCCCTTGACAGATATAGGAAAGACATCCCAGATCCCGGAAGGTTCTTCAGCATAGTTAGGAAGCCGATCGCGGATCATACGAGATCCTTCGAGAAAAAAATCCAAAGTCATGGGAAACCTTCATCGGCCTCGTTCATGCCTGCAATATCGTTAAACCTTTACGCCTGCAAAATAACATGTCATGGCAGTGGTATGACAGATGTTGCACCAAATGTTGTCAGTCTGGTGCAACTCTGCAGCTGAAATTTTGAAAATGCGGAAGTCCGTCCTTTCGTCCTCTAACGTGAAGTCAATTTTAACAAGTTGTATAGCTTTGCATGAATGAACTAAGGAACGTCGTAGCAGAAACCAAATGTGCGAAGGGACGCTGGCTCCCAATGGGTCGTGCAGCAAAACTACAACAAAGGCCCAAGGTCCCAGAGGATCCTCGTCAAAATTATAGAACTGGTCAAGATACGAGATCAGCTCACGTAAAACACCTGCTCAGGTAATGCCACCTGTCCACGCCGTCAGAGGAACCCACAGCCGCCGGTTGGCCAGACAAACGACTGTTTTTGGCGTGCTTGCTGAGCCCTAAACATTGTTTGGTGGAATGAACGACCCCCGGCTGCGTTTAGTGCACCTACCTGCCGTTTACGGCTGTTCGGTAGTGATGTTTAGCCCGAATAGTGATGCAGGCTGCCCATGTAAACACTACTTGTCCGCACAGACTCGTCGGTTTGTCTAATGCCTAATTCCGACTTTGCCGCGGGTTGGAAACTACTACAGCTTATGCCGTTCGTCTTCTGCGTCGGCCGGACCAAGTCGACGTGGACTTACCTACTTACCAGCTTACTTACCAGCGGACTTACCAGCGGCAGAGCGAAGCGTATCTGTCATTCTGTTGAGGCCAGCCAGCACGCGGCTTACATTGACCGGCCGTGTAGCCTCGAGCAGCCCTTGGTTGTCTATTGTCTTCGCTTGACAGTGATGTGGCAACGCGTCAAGAATGTCGTGGAAAGAAGTTTAGACGTCGATGGGAGATGAAGACTACCAAGCGCATGCCAATAAGTATATTATAAGCGTATGTGGCCGTTCTTCAGATGTCAGTTTTTCTACTTATTTTCATAGCTAAACAACAATATTTGTGACGGCGTGCCCTAGCCTGTCCCGATCGAAACGCTGCGCCGCATTGTGGGCCTCCAACGGTTGCAGATATTTGTAGCAAGACACGCCACTAGCAAGCCACCACCGACCGTAATTTGAAGCCTGCTCTTCATAACACACGGGCTGTCCGACGTCGAGGATCGAAGTACCCATTGCCCGGCCAAGACCGCAACAATTATTGTAGCATTTGACTGCAATGCATGCCGATACGTCACCAAAAACGCATTATATCGCCTTGACGCTTGACGAAATTGAACTCGGGGACCATAACATTTGGGTTGCATTGTAGCACAGTATCTGACATGAATTAGGTCTTGGCAGGAACTGGCGATCGACCCTCAGGCACGCCAAGTGACGACCATGTGTTTCAAATTAAACGAGCCGGATTGATCGTATGAATTTAGTGCGCGGATAGGCGACGGTATTTTCCGCCAGCGCCCCTCCATCGGCTGATCGGTCGCGATCCATGCTGCAAAATCGAAAATGTACTCCCGTATTTGGTACACGTTATGACTCTGACATTTTGTTTACCCACCACTTAGTGTAAGTGCACCGATGATAACGCTTGTTACCAGTTGAAAGCACACTTATAGCGTGGCATAATATATATATATATATATATATATATATATATATATATATAGACAATCGTCATCGAGTGGGCACAATATGGCGTAGATGCTGATGCGCTCTAAAACACCAAATCACGACCTCGATCGCTGGTGCGCTGCGCCGATTGGTGCGATGCCTCAGTCGATGGATCACGGCGTTCAGGGGAACATCAGGACGGTCCGGGGCTGTGGCAGGGCCGCCGGCTCGTGGGCGGCGGACCGGCCGGGGGCGTGCCGCCCGCGCCGCCGCAGGGGGCGGGACGACGGCGCTCCTGGCCGGCCGCGGCCGTGCGCCTGCCCGCGCGTCGGACCTGACGGTCGCGAGTCCGCCCGAGCGGCGGCGCGGTACGCTGCTGACGACGGCCGGCCGCCGCGGCAGGCGCGCCGCCCACGGCCACCAGGTGTGCCTCGGGTGGGAGCGACACTCGCGGCGCGCGGCGGCGCTAGGACGACCCAGCGCCGCGCTTCATGTAGGGCGAGTTCGGTCGGGGTTGTCTCGTAAGCGTCAATATTCGAGAAACGCACAGAGCTTTCCCTTCAGAAATACGTGGGTGTACCGTGACGCGACCGTGTTCGGTGTTACCGCCATCAGTTTACGGCTACCGAGGACGCACATGTTCGAAGAGAGGCTACACACAGAGCAGAGGCTACCTGATATTTTTGCGGCGTGACTGTGAACCACCCTGTTCTGGGTTAGCCGACTCTTGCGTAGGCTGCCCGTGGCCGCCGGTATTCGGGGTCAGCTCTTGCTGGTGTGGCGTGACCGCGGACGGCGCTCGGACTTGTCGGCGGCGCTGTGACTCGTCTTTTTAACCGGTCAATGGCTTATAATCGGCCGATTCGTCACCATTGTACACACCAAACAATCAGTGTAATGCAGAAGCGATCAATGCCGCTGCAGGTGGGCACAGCGCCGCTGTCAAAGGGGGCCGTGCTAACGGCGGTGCATTGTGGCCGGATTATCGGGCGGGTGACCTGTATGCCATGCCATCGGCTACGTCGATATAGCGCACCGGTTCTAATAACTTGGCGGATGTCGGCTTTGTTGAAGGGAATGTTTCCCATTTGAAGATGTAGAAGCAAGCATCAGATATGATGAAGCAAGCTCACTTATAGCTATTGGTATACTTTTCAGATGAAAAGACTGCTCTGGATAGCACAATTCTGTGATTAGTAACCATGCTCCTCAATGCGGCACGGTTTGATTACGTCACCGTATCTCGTACAGCATTGCGAGTCAGTTGACGGCCGTTATGTCTGGAAATTGCTCTCGCGGACTCCAGATGTGAACGCCTCGACAATTATATGTTTTGCCTTGATCGCCGCATGGCTTGTGGAATGGCAGGATTTAAATGATGTTATTATGACGTCATGTATGCCAAGGTAACGATGAAATACTGTCCCCGATGCATCTTTCCCCGTGTTCGCGGGCGTGCAGCTCAGAACCTAGAGGGGCACAGGTCTTCAGAAGGGCAGAATTGTGAACAGCCCCGAAAGGTCTTCAGGACGGCTATTTCAGTCCAAAACCTCATGTAAAGGCAGAAAACTCCCTTTAAGGGAGTATACGAGCCTCGACGGCCTGGGTCTCGTGTCGCGTTTCGTGTTAGTCTCGTTCGCTGTTCATGTGAAATGCGATGCCCGCGCGAAGCGGAATCCAGTGCGTGCACAAAGAATCCAGTGCATGTCATTTTCGGAGTGACGCGGTTATAATGCGGTGCATGTAGACGAAAGCTCGACGTTGAGGTCACCGACCCCATTTAGGCTTATCAGATTTACATCCGCTTTGTGCACACTCGCATTCATGCGCGCTGGACGTGGGATGTCGAGCGTAACGCCGCTAGAGCTCTGTGTCGTACGCTGAAGCTATTGGACCGATTTAAAACTGCGGAGCTGCCGTGTCGGCCGGATCTATTTCCGTGTGCGCTCCGCTTGGGCACCGAGCTGTGTTTGTCGTAACATGTAGCATGGTAATGTAATGTAACACGTTACGATAATGCATAACACGTCGGTCACGTGTTCCAGGTACTTGGCGTGTCCGCACTCTCCCCGGAGGCGCCGCAGCACCATGGGGATAACGCGGTGTTCGGAGCGCCGTCGTGGATCCAGTGCTCTTGGACCGGACCCAGCGCGAGCCCAGCCCGAGGGGACAGGGGCAGTGTTCTCGTGGGTGCAGTGTCCTCGGACCGGACCCAGCGCGAGCCCAGCCCGAGGGGACAGGGGCAGTGTTCTCGTGGGTGCAGTGTCCTCGGACCGGACCCAGCGCGAGCCCAGCCCGACAGGGGTGCGCCCCGTCCCGGCTGGGCGCCGCGCCGTCCCCGGCGTAGGCACGGCGCGCCGGCCTGTCTTTCGACTGGAGACTGCTCTGACGTCGGCATGCGCGGCGCCTGCAGGAGCTGCAGCTCGTGTGCGCCATGGAGCACACGCCGGGGAAGGGCTGCTGAGGCAGGGTTTGGGCGTCGACGCTGACTCCAGTCATGCCCGACTATGACGTCGCCGTGAGGTGGTCGCGGTGATGGATCGAGCCGTGATTCAAGTGGTGTGGCGTTGCCCTGGCATCAGCGATGGCCACCTTACTGGGTGATGAGCATGCGGTGGAGCCTGCTGCCGAGGTATGGCAGCGAGCTCGCGCCACTGATCCGCCGCTGCTTGCGATATGGTGCGGATAGCCACGTTGTCGCGGCTGAACCGGTGTTTTTGACCTGATGCGGTGGCCAGAAAGACGCATAAGATGACGTGTCGCTCTCGGGAACGTCACACGCACCCCCGCGACCGTTTGTTCCGCGGCTCTCTCGTTCTGCGCCTGTGTACGCTGGGTGTCAGCCCCGCCGCGTGAGGGAGGGGAGGGGAGACGGGTGCGCGGTTACTACCGCTGGTATGTTGGGCCCCGGCCAGTCTCATGTCCCTGTCGTCTAGCCCGTCCGCCCTTGTCGTTGAGTCCCTTGTCAAGATCAGCAAATGGTGCGCCGTAGCCATGTGAAGGTGGAGTCGGTCGGCCTACGGGGACGCCATGTGCGGAGAACACAGGCGATCAGCGACGGCGGGTGTGATCCCATGTGTGAACTATCGTGTGTGGGTGCAGGCGAGGGGGCTCGCGCCACCTGCCACCTGGTACCTCGTGGTCGTGCCCCACATTGCTGGAGTGTGTCCCGCTGAATCACCTCTGTGCTCTCGTCAGTATTTGTGGAAGTGTCCCGGGAGTCAAATTACTCCCCCATCGGTCGGCGCTTTTTCTCAAAAGACGAAGAGTTCCGGGTTCTCTGTATTTATTTAGAGATCGATTTTCGTCAATAAAACAAGCACTTTGGGCGTCCTGCTTCCCTGCATAAGCTGAAGCTGAAATGGAACCTTGTGCTTGGGTACGCTAGTGTAGCGCGAAAAGGTCCGCCGGTTATAGTTGAAGCGGTAAGAGTTCCACACTCATTCCCGCTGGCAGGCATCTTGCCAACAGAGAGAGAGAGAAAGAGAGAGAGAGAGGGTACACGTTCAGGGGACCAAGTACGACAGGATTTGCCACATCGCTTACCGCTCAGCAGTTAACATTTCTACCGTGGCGTGCGCCTAACCATTCTAGATGAGTGCGCTCAGCTGTTCTAGGAAGTGCGCTCAGTTGTCGAAGCGATGCTGGTGAACAGAGGTCATGGTTCAGAACGCAGCACCTCGCACATTGTCGGCTCGTGGCACGGACAGCCAGCCGGACGCGGGCGGCGCCGCGTCCATCAGCGGTTGGCGACGGCTCCATCGGCGGTGCGTCCTGGCCAGCGACGTGCTCTGGGTGCCGGGCGGGAGGGATAGGGGAGCGTTGCTCCTGTGCCGACCCGCTGGCAAGAGCGGGAGAAGCTGTGTCGGATCCATCCCTGGCGTCCGCATCAGGTCAGCTTCTATATCTTGTAGTGGTTTTCAGCGCGCTGGCGGCCAGGGAGGAGTGTGGGAAGGGGGCGGACAGCGGGGAGGAAAGATTTGCGGACATCCGCAGCGTGTCACGAGCAGTCTGGAAATCGTTTGGGGGACGTGAGGCGCGCTTTGCATTTCGTAACTGATGTAAAGCTAATGAAGTTTGTTCCGGCTCCAGCAGGCCACACCTCGAGCGCTTATCATTCATGTCAATTGATCATCTGATTCAGACTGACATCTAATTCACCAATAACCATGTGTTCCACCCGAGTGGACTTGTTTTGGGTGTGTTCACAGCGCCCGGTCAGCAGATTATACTGTCGACGTCATCCATAACGTAATGTCCCAAAGATTCTGAACCAATTCTCGATGACATCACTGGAATATATTTCGGCATGCAACATGCCTTCCGTAGTTTGGTCAATGATAAACCGAAATTGCGTTAAAGTTTTGTTTGTAACCAGCTAATTTGTGTGCCATTAACTGGCTTCGGATGAAGAGGACATGCGCCACAAGTCACAAACAGCGTAGTTCGCAGTTTCCATGGCTGCCGAACACGCATTCTACGTGCAAACAAATGTGCTAGCATTCTGCACGCGCATTCATCATGAATATCACAAAAATATGAACAGAAAACGTGTCACTCTTGGAACGCGGCCAGCGAAATTCCATGTGACGGCATCCAAAATAAAACATTCTGGTGCACTGCGAATCTGCACTTCTTTACTCAGACGCACTGCACAGACCGCTGTACTGGCGGAGGCGATGTTTGCGCACACGATGAGTGACCATTGGGGTGATTCGCGTCCAGAAATTATTTCGATTGACTCCTGTGTCGGTAACGGGCCATGCGAGGTGGGAACAGCAGCTGGCATTCAGCAGTGGGACACTTCTCGAGAATGCGGGAGAAGCAAGGTCTGCGAAGGCCAAACCTTCCCAAACGCGCCGAAAAGTCCGACCAGCGATGGCTTAAAGGTAGCTATTGCCAGGAGACAGCTGATTTTCCCTGGGGTGAGCTCACGTGTATCCGAAGACCGGACACGTACGGCGGCGAAACACGGTCATTGGGTCCGAGCGGCCCGGCTCTACTGAGCAGCGCAGCCATGCTCACTGGCGCCTGCATTACATGGCTTGTTTACGAGGTGCTATTGCGTTGCTGGTGGTGGTGCTACAGGCGCAACGACGTGGCTTCTTCGCGCAGTGAAGCGATCGGGAACCACTTGGTTCCACCTCGCCACCGTCGGTGCCTATGTTCCGAGGCGGGAGTTGCTTTTTGACTGGTTTAGGTGCCCGGGTAGCTTGGGTAACATAAAAAAACAGACCCTTTAGGCATCGAATGGGGTTTTCAGCCCACCCCAGCTTTCCTATTAAGGAATGCTTAAGATCAGCCCCGAGAGTGAGACTCTTTGGTTGGATATCCAATCTGTTCCTGGACCGTTTCCCAGTGTTTCCGCAAACGAGTTGTCTGGCGCGTCCTCCGAGCAGCCTATGGCGATCACGCACTGAAAATGACTTCGCCGAGCAAATGCCAAATCTGACGGTCGTGAAGGCTCGGGGAAACCCAAACCTTTCCCGAGCCAGGCCGATGACAGGAGCTCAAGCGGGAAAGCTTGGGGAATCCCTACCATGTCCCAAACTGGTTGGGGAGACTTGGAGTTTCCCAAGTTTCCCAGGGCAACCCAAAACCTTCCCGAGCCAGGCCGATGACGGGAGCTTAAGCGGGAAAGCTTGGGAAATCCGTACCATTTCCCAAACTGGTTGGGGAGACTTGGGGTTTCCCAAGCTTTCCTCAGTCGTTTCCGACCTCGCCCCAAGCAAATGGCCGGCTGGGAAGGTATCCCGAAAAGATGGCTCCTATGACAACAAAATGGAGCCCACTTAGTTGAAATGCGCCCCTATGTCTCGATTTGACACCCTCCTGAACGAAATCCCGGCTACCCCACTGCATCCGTGGTAGTCAGTCAATGGGGTGGTTCGGAGGTGGTTGTCGTAATAGGTTCCGAGGTGGACGTCGAAGTGGTGTCCGGAGTGGGTGTCGTTGTTGGTACCGTGGTGGATATCAGAGTGGTGTCCGGGGTCGGTGACAGAGTAGGGTCCGTGGTGGGCGTGGGAGTAGGTACTGGGGTGGATATCAAGCTGGGGTCCGGGATGGGTGTGGGCGTAGGTACTGGGGTGGATATCAGAGTGGGGTCAGGGGTGGGCGTGGGTGTAGGTACCGGGGTGGATATCAGAGTGGGGTCCGGGGTGGGTGTCGTTGGTACCGGGGTGGATATCAGAGTGGTGTCCGGCGTGGGTACCTGAGTGGTGTCCGGGATGGGTGTGGGAGAAGGTACCGTGGTGGGTATCAGACTGGGGTCTGGGGTAGTTTTCGGAGTAGTTACCGGGGTGGATATCAGAGTGGTGTCCGCGGTGGGTACCAGAGTAGCGTCCGAAGTGGGTTTCACGGTGGGTTTCGAAGTGGGTTTCTGGGTGGGTTTCGAGGTGGGTGTGAGGGTTGAGTCCGGGGTTGTCACCACCGTGATGTCTGGGTCGACTGCAAGGGCGGGTTCTGTGACGTGGTCCGTGGTGAGCTCTGGCGTGGAAGGCACGGTCAACGGCAGTCCGGGATGCGGTGTGGTTTGGCCTCCCACTGTAACTCCAGTGGTCGGGCCCGTGGTAGCCTCACTGGGCGTGGACAAGCCAGCAGCAGCGGCCTCCGCCGCCTCTACCGCGGCGGCGCTCACAGATAGGGTGCTCGTCGCAACCGAGATCGCCAGGGTCGTCTGCGAGGTCGCCTCAGGACCTCGCGTCGTTGCCGCGGCCATCGAGCTCGGCGTCTGCGTGGTGGCGTGCGCTGCCCCCGCCTCCCGTGTCAGAAGAGTGGTCGTCGACGTGGCTGTGTCCGTGAGCGCCGTCTCGCCTCCGTGAATGTCGGTTTCGTCGTCCACGGCGCTGGATTCGTCTTCCTCGCTCCAGGAGCCGACGGCCTCGGCGGCGCAGACGTCCTGGCCGCTCACTGTTCCCGACTCCGCGCTGGCGGCGCACGTGCAGAGCTTGTTGACGCACTCGGCCCCGTCGGTGACGAAGGCGCATTCCCCAGAGGTCTCGCAGTAGTCGCCGAGCCGCGCTGACGACAGGGTGCAGGCGGGTCAGGGGGAGAGATGGCGGCGTCACCCACTCGAGAGGCGACTCGGGGATCCGGGACATGGCGCAGGGTTTGAATCCCACTCGCTGACGACAGAGTGCAGACGGTTCGGAGGGACAGACCACGGCGTCACCTTCAGGGGAGGTGGCCGGAGGATCAGGGATCTAGCGCAGGGTTTGAATCCCACTCGCCTCGAGTATTGCCCAGTCACCTTTCTGCAACCGTTATCAGAGCCCCCTAGACCAATGTCAGGGACAGTTTCATACGGCAGGGCCTACTCTTATGGCTGATTGTGGTCCAGTCACCCCCCTCTCTCCCCTCAGCGAACAGCTTGACCCCGCAATCGTGCATATCATGCACTCCTGCCCACCTCCCAACATTACATGGTATCTCTTGTCTTGTGATTTGCACACAATATATTTTGTGATTGCTGAAAAGGACCGAAATGTACGTTTAGATTCCATGCTTATCACATGAACGAACATACTGACAGCACTGAGGGGTTTTGCCTGGTTCTTTATCGCCTAGGTATTGGTCCGACGTAGTTCACAGATGATGTTATGTTTAAAATGCCCTACGTGCGTCATACGTCATTGCATGCGTAGATCGTGCAATATGTCCAGTTCTATGCGTGCATATGTGCGGCTCCAGAAAAAGAGCAGCACTCGACCCTGATGAAACAGTTTGTACACGGACAACTCATTTAGCACAATCTTTGGTCTATGCCACAAAATTAGGCCGCCAAAATGCTGCAAGCATAATTTTCATGCGGTTTTTTAGCACCATGCGAGAACTGTGCACCTTGGATAGGTGGAGTCATACAATTATAACAGGAAAACTTCGTTCTTTTCTTTTCAGGACAAATATTTGCGAGTACCTGCCGCGTCCGGCGCGGCAGGTACTGGTCCTGCTGTGTAACTTAGTTTAAGTGGGAAGTAAATGTGTCCGTGGACGAGGCAGTAGTAATAGCCTTATTCCTCGGAGAAAAACCAGGAGAATGGAGATGTAGTTGGGTGAAAAACTTCTGGTCTCCTGATTTTTCTTCGAGGGATAAGGCCATTACTATTGTCTGATCTACGTGAATAATGTCGCTCGCTAATGCGCTGAACAACTTACGAAAATTTGTCCGGTTTGAACATTTTCGCAGGAATGGCAGTAGTATCAGCCTTATTCCTCGGAAAAACCAGGGGAACAGAGATATAGCTAGGCTGAAATTTCGGCAACATGCGTTTCTTAAAACAATAGCAGAAGTGTATAAATATAACTATACCTCTATTCTCCTGGTTTTCCGAGGAATAAGGCTAATACTACTGTCTTATCTATGTGACTCATGTTCCTCGCTAATGCACTGAACAACCTACGCAATTTTCGCAGGAAGTACAAATGGTTTTCCACGTGTTCAGCTTAACAAACAAAAGTTACGATTCTGGTCGGAAGATGTGCATAATTGCTTCTTTTTTTTGCTTTGAGGGCAGAGACTAACGGCATTCAAGTAAAACATGATATACCAAACGCTATAAGTAAGCACCAAAATATTGACAAGTTTATTGCCTTGCTAGCATTTTTATTATGTTTGATGAGCCACGCCAAATTTACGGTCAACGAAATTTTTGGCTTGACAAACATGTCAACCTCTTATGCCATGGCATAATTTTTTATTCACCAGTTCCACGCGCCAAACCAAAGTAACGCTCTGTGGTGTAAGTCTGCCTCACCTAAATTAGTTCGTCCAAGTTTCCAGGAATGATGCGGTCTTTAACGCGTAAACCTGATTCACTTGCCTGCTTCCTAGCTGAGGGATTTTTGATAAACTGCGATGCGTGGTACTCTGGAGCACACGCACAAATATGACGCAATTCATGCAGTTGATTCATGTAGTACATAATTCTTAGTATTAGTAGGAAACTGTGTTAAATATAGTGCATAATATGAAACAAATATATATATATATATATATATATATATATATATATATATATATATATATATATATATATATATATATATATATATATATATGTGTTGTGTGTGTGTGTGTGTGTGTGTGTGTGT